GGAATGTATGTGCTCTCTTTTTTTTTTAATTTAAAAGAATTGCTTATTTAATTGTATTTGTTGTTATTATTTTTTAATTTGACGAGAGAGAGAGAGAGAGAGAGAGAGAGAGAGAGAGAGAAATAGAAAGGGAGAAAGCAAGCTGCCAGGTCCAGGATTCCAACTGTGGTTGTCTGTATGGGAATCCACTGCCTTTAACCACCACGCTAACTGCTGGCCCCAATGTTCTTTGTTTTCAGGTGTGATTTGAGGATGTTCTTTAGTTCTAGGAATTCATCTTGGCTCCAGAAGAACTATTGATTTATTTTTACTAAATAGCTGATTTTAGTTTAACAGATGTTTCTATTTTATTTATTGGGTTGTTGAAAAAGTCATGATATATTTTTTATGCAAAAATGTGTCATGACTTTTCTGATGACTCAATATTAATTAGAAAAATTTTTTTTATAGGGCATGTGCACTCAACAGAAACAGTGAGAGGGAAAGTTATGAATCATTTCCCAGGGGTGGTGGCCATGCCGCAGTCCCTTCTCTTTCTTTCTCTTTTTGGGATTTTGGGCACACATGCACACGTGTGCCTGGTGTGATTTTCAAGCTACTGGTCCAGGGCTTGAAATGGGGTCGGCCACCTGGAAGTCCAGCTCTTTAACTACTATGCCACCTGCTGTTCCCTCTCTTTCTTATTTGTTCAACTTTCTTTTTCTTTTACTTGCCAGTGTGAACATGTGCTTGCCAGAGACAGAGAAACAGAGAGGGAGAAAACATCCAACACTGCGATGTGGTCCTGCTGCAATCCCTCCTCCATTTTCCCTTCCTGTTAGGATTTTGGGCACGTATGCACACAGGTCAGCTATGGTTTTCAAGCTACCAAGGCTGGAATTTGAACCATAGTCAGTCACAGTCAACCTAGGGAGCCAGATCCCAGGGATCTAGGCTGTAGAACTGACCTTTTTAAAACTTTTTTTGTTTTTTAGAGATTTTTGCGAGAGGGCGCCTGTGCTCGCCAGAAAGACAGAGACAGAGAGACAAAAAGCGAGAAATCATCCCCCGGGGAGATGACCATGCTGCAATCCCTTCTCCATTCTCCTCTCGGGATCTTGGGCACGCATGTACACGCGCCTGGCTTAAGTTTAAGCCACGTACTCCACGGGCGATGTGCCACAGTGGAGTTCAGCGACATAGCCATTATGCCACCTGCTGGTCCCTTGAAACATTTTTTTTAATTATTAAAAAAAAAATTTTTTTTTAAATTATTTTTTTTAGTGAGAGAGGGAGTGAACATGCCATGTCCAGGAGCATCTTGACACTGAGATTCAAACACTCTCCCCTAACTCCCCACCTTCAGCCAGGCCTGAGTCATGGGCAGGCACATGTCCAGCATATTCACTGTGGTCTTGGGCTTGAACTAGGAACCTTCCCATATGGGATTACCGCAGAGAATGCCACAATTTTTTATTTATTTCATGAGCAAGAGAGAGAGAGAACTCCCAATAAGGACTTGGCACTGTGATCCACCCCTAGCCTCAGCCAGCCCTGCATCATGGACACATATATTCTTAGCATACTCAGGGAAGTCTCCATATGTGAACCTGGAAGCTTCCCATGTGGGACAGCTTTGCAGAGCATTGCATTTTACTGTTAACACCACTGTCAGCCCTGATATTTCTGACTTATGTTTATTTTTATTTTTTGGCAGTGAGTTACTTTAACATGTACAGTTTTCCTTTATTCTAAATCTTCCCACAGCCTTTTTATTTTAAGCAGCATATTCTTTTCTCAAATGAAATGGTACACCAAATTCAATTTATGGAACAGACCAAAGCATCCTTTTGTTTTTTATAAGTTCATTTTAGAAGTTTGAGTTTATAACATTTACTTATAAAGTCAGAACAGTGTGAGGCTGTTTTGATCAACCCAGATACTTGAAACAGATTTAAAGAGACTACTGTCTTTTTTTTTTTTTTTTAAGTTTTAGTTATCTTTTTCATGATCAGAAGGAGAGGAGGGGTGGGGGGCAGGTTCCCTTGATAAGATCTTGCTACATTGTAATCCCTCTCCATCCTACCAGCCAGTGAAGTTCATGGGTGTGTGCTGGTGTGGTCAGGGCAGTCCAGGATCTGAACATGTTCCTCCCATGGGTGCCAGGATTATATAGCAGTGCTCTACCACCTATACTACTGAGACTGAAGCAGTCTTGGTTTAACTTTACTTTCCAGTTATTTATGCATTCAAAAAGTTGGGTAAATCCTAATAAAACAGTTAGGCTAGAAGCCAAGGGTATTTTTCTGTATTTTTTTAACATTTGCATAGAAGACATGGAAAAATAAATCATTACTTTTCTGACAACCCAATATTTATTTCTTTCGTGAGTGAGAGAGACAGAGACAAGCACCCCCAAGGATCTTAGCACCATGATCTATTCCCAGTCTCAGTCTGCCCTTGACCACTGGCATGCGTGCCTCTGGCCTGTTCAGGAAGGTTTTCTGATATGAACCCTCAGCCTTCCCATCTGTGTCAGTCCCATAGAGCATTATGTTACTACTGTGCCACCATCTGGTCCCAGGTCAAGAATATTTTTCAGGTAAGCGAATAAAGGGGTCTGGAAGAGGAGTAGAGGGCTAATATTTGTCATAAATATAAAATACAGATAAGAAAGTCCCTCAAACTCACAAGTGTGAAAGTATTATACAATAATTCATTACTCAGCATGTCAGTTCAGCTGTCACCGCATAGCTGTTATACCATGACAGGCAGAAGGGGGAGAGATAGTTGTGCCTGGCACTGATTGTGGCCCCATGTTGTGTGTATCTTTCTTGTATGTGCTACTTGATGTAAACGGGCTTGTGCCAGCCTGATTCAGTTTCTGTAATCATTACCAGCAGGGTTGGTTTATATACAGAGATGGCTGAAGTTCTTCAGTCTCCACAAAAACAAATGATCAGGTAGAGCCCTCAAGGGTATATTACAGTTTGACATATAACAGATTTGCTATAGGGCGCGTGCGTTCGCCAGAAAGAGAGACATAGAGACAGAAAGCGAGAAATCACCCCCCAGAGGGGATGGGCACCCCGC